AGGAATGCCAGTTTACTATAGCATCATTCCACCTGGCCAACAAAATAATTTAAGGTGAGTATGAATAAAAAGCATAATCTTATAACTCCTCATTGTTTATCAGGATTGTGGTCTGTTGCTAATTTTAAAGTTGCCTAAGGGGCATTACCTGAGATCATTCTCTAATCTAGAATAGAAAAACTACAATACAATCTATTTATCTAGCATTTTTTTTAACAAAATCAGTGTAACCAAGGCATTCCATATGTAAACCAATGGAGAATCAAGTTTTCCCTCATGTGCCTGAAAGTAGTAGGCCAGTCTCCTTTTACTCACCTAAGTGGAATCAATAGTTGGCCATAGATCTTAGAGTTAAGAGCGTTTATGTGTTAATATTTAAGGTTTTTGTAAGAGTCTGGGGAGAATGTATTTCCTGTATATAACTTCAAGAGCAGAATATCTTGCTGCAATCTTTCAGGCTCTGGGGAGCTCCTTTTTCATCAGTAAGAGGAGGGAGGCATATGAGAAGCAAATGATAGTAGGTCTATATTAAAGCACGTCGTGAAGTATTCCATTAGCTACTTAACTTAAAAGAACAGAAACTTCTCTGATAAGCCTAATGTGTTAAAAAAAAAAATAGTCTTCCTTTGAGTTGGATACTTTTAGTCTGCTGTTCAAAGTGGATTACAGTCTTTCATTTATTCTCATGACATTTCTGTAAGGTTGCCAGAGTAGCCTTGGTGCTCTTTTTAATAAGGAGTCTGAAGGTAGAATTGCTGATAAGAGGTTGTCACCCAGTTATGGTTACAGATGGTATTTAGGGGTGAAGAAGGGGTTGCAGTACTTGCTTCATTGAATCTGCTTGGGAAAATGGGGACTTGACTCTCATTTTATTTGTTGTCATAAACACACATACATACACACCTGAGGAGCTCACATATTTCCTCCTCTCTGTGGATGCCACAAACTGAAAAGGCCCAGGCTTTTTAAACAACAAGTTGGTTGAAATCTCACAGGCAACTTTGGAGTTTTGTACAATGATGAGCCCCAGCTCTTTTGTGGTAGAGCTGCTGCACAGTGAAAATTTTAAAAAAAAATTTTTTTTGGCCTCACTGTTCAGCACGCAGGATCTTAGTTCCCTGACCAGGGATTGAACCTGCGTCCCCTGTAATGGAAACACGGAGTCTTAACCACTGGACTGCTAGGGAAGTCCTGAAAATAGAAATTTATACTGTGTTAAAATTTCCCATTATTTTTTAAAGCCTTCCAGGTGATTCTTCTGGCAATAAGAGTTGAGACTCGCTGACCTATGCTAACCAGCCCTTTTTTTCATCTGTACACTTCAGCTATGCACAAGTCTCCATAACTCAGTAATATTTTACACATTTGCGAGAAAGTCATAATAACTGTCAATATAAAATTTCATCCAAGACCCAGTGTCCTAAGGTAAAACTGTGTCGATTACTCCATACCAGCAAGTATAATAAATCTCAGTTTGTTCACAGGGGGAAAGTATATCTTAAACTCTAAGCTATAGGATCCTGATCCAAACACTCGTGTTTTTACTAAAACATTACCAGATTATAAGATTTCTATAAGAACACTAAGTGAGCCTTTGTTCTGAAAAATGTCTTCCTTAGCTTGAGTTGCTTAGCAATCCATTTTCTTATGGCGGCTCCTTATGCAGAAAAGTGGAATTTGAATTATCTTTACTTTCAGCTCAACCAATCAGTTATCACTGAGGCAATTTTGTGTTTGTATTGGATTGTGTTGTTACGTGTACTATGAGGATTTAGCATAGCCTGATACAAATCATGTGTCTTGTCACTTTCAGCAAGCCATGTACCGGTCAGAGAAACTAGTTTTACAACAAATCATGGTATTTCTGTCAGTCTATGATGTAGAGAAAAAAACTAATATCATTCCTACAGTCTGCAAAAATGGGCAGGCTAGTTGGATAATATTTTCAAAATGCTCCCATTTAGGGTTTTTTTTCCTCCTGTATTACCATTTATTTTCCCATTTTTATCTTGAAACTCAAAAGGAGAATATACTTTTGTCTGTGATCTGCAATCTCAAAGGGCTAGCGTACAGAGAGGGGAACTTGAAGAGACTGTAACCTTTATTTTTCAGAACTCTAAAAAAAAGGCTTCATAGAATCTTTATGAAATAATGAAGAAGAAAACCTATTTTTAAGTCTTTTTCCCTTTTCCATCTGCATAGTCTGTTTTTCCTCGTTTTGTAAACTAGTATTCCTCTAGTGTCCCCTTTGTCCTACTTCTGGAACTGTTTTGGATTCATTTGATTTCTCCTAAACTTCTAGTTTTGCATTTTGGTTTTTTGTTTGCCTCAGCCATCCTTTGAAATAATTGTCAATAACAGAGTCTCAATCTGAACCACATGTTTTAGTGAAATTTTACTTCTGTTGTTATTAAAAGGGAATTTGTTAACAGTTAGCCTAGAGAAATAAAATGTAATAAGAAAGTTACTTCTGGTGCTAAAACATTGCCTTTTCAGAATGTTTATTTTCTCTTCATTGGATATAACAGCTTTTATTTATCAGCAAAATTAATTAGTAAATTAAGTTATATGGACAAAAATAATGTTAAATAGGAAGGGAAGAGGATGCTTATAGCTATTCCGTTTCTTGTAAACTCACCAAAAATGAGTGATAATAGTAATTTTTTAAATATAAATTTATTTATTTATTTATTTTTGGCTGCATTGGGTCTTTCTTGCTGCGCGTGGGCTTTCTCCAGTTGCAGTGAGCAGGGGCTACTCTTTGTTGAGGTGCACAAGCTTCTTACTGCCGTGGCTTCTCTTGTCGCGGAGCATGGGCTCTAGGCACACGGGCTTCAGTAGTTGTGGCAGGCGGGCTCAGTAGTTGTGGCTCACGGGCTCCAGAACGCAGGCTCAGTAGTTGTGGCGCATGGGCTTAGTTGCTCCACGGCATGTGGGATCTTCCCGGACGAGGGCTCGAACCCATGTCCCCTACATTGGCAGGCGGATTCTTAACCACTGCACCACCAGGGAAGTCTCTATTGTATTTTATTTTTTATTTTTTTATTTTCTTGGAAGTCTCTATTTTAGATTAATAATTTTTAAGTAGATATCTTTAAAGAATAAGGAGGAAAGGTGATATTTCTTGCAAAAATCTTTTCATTTTTCAGTCTCTCTCAGTGAGTTTCTATTGGGAAAAATAATTCTCCTACATCTACATTTTGTCCGTTAAAAGAGTGTTTTCTCTATTTAACTTGTTTGGGTCTTCTTGATTATACATACAATACAGAGTCATTGTAGAAAATTTGAAAATATAAAATTTTCAAAATGTAAAAAAGGGTGAAAAAGCAAATCAGCTACAATCTCACCACTCAGAGATAATCACTGTTAAATTTTGGTGTCTTCATTCAAGTCATTTTTCAGTGTACACATAATATGTGAACTTTGTTAGGAATCATATGTTCTAAACATTATATTTTCTGTATTTTTAATTACATTGTTCATAAGCTCTGGTTTAAAAATTAAACCAGGGTGGCGCAGTGGTTAAGAATTCACCTGCCAAGGCAGGGGACACAGGTTCAAGCCCTGGTCCAGGAAGATCCCACATGCCGCGGAGCATCTGAGCCCGAACTGCTGAGCCTGTGCTCTGGAGCCCGTGAGCCACAACTACCGAGCCCTCATGCCACAACTACTGAAGCCTGCATGCCTAGAGCCCCTGCTCCGCAACAAGAGAAGCCACCGCAATGAGAAGCCCATGCACTGCAACGAAGAGTAGCACCCACTCACCACAACTAGAGAAAGCCCACACGATTCAACGGAGACCCAATGCAGCCAAAAATAAATAAATGAATAATTTGTAATGAATACATAAATAAATAAGCCAGCCCCACAATGTGGCCAAAATAACAAAGAACTCTAAGAAGGAAATTACAAGTTTTGCAGTTCATGAAGTCTTACAGATAAAAGGTCAAGAAGAGTATTTATTCAAAAATAGGTAGTACTTTTTTGAAAGACAGAAGGGAAAGAACTTATGTAAGGAGAAATTCAGTTAGTTTTTTTTTAAACATAAGAAAAAAGGAGTACATCTCTTTAATCTTCCCACCCACTTTTGAATTATTCGTTAGGTGTGTGTGTGTGTGTGTGTGTGTGTGTGTGTGTGTGGTACGCGGGCCTCTCACTGTTGTGGCCTCTCCCGTTGCGGAGCACAGGCTCCAGACGCGCAGGCTCAGCAGCCATGGCTTATGGGCCCAGCCGCTCCACGGCATGTGGGATCTTCCCGGACTGGGGCACGAACCCGTGTCCCCCGGCAGGCGGACTTTCAACCACTGCGCCACCAGGGAAGCCCATATTCGGTAGATTTTTACAGCTTTCTTCCTCAAGTAAATTTTAAGCTTTTCCAAATTGTTTCTCAAAATCCATCCTGACTTTCTTCACAGCCCAAGAATTTGAATGGCTTGCCATTTTATTTGTTATTTCTTCAGGCCATAGGTAACCTAGATAACAAGCGATCCCCTGAGATACTCAAAGTTTAGGAAGCAGAAAAGGTTTGTGTTGGAAGTGCCCCTCTGGCATATTCTATTTATTTTATTTTGTGAATAATTTCTGTTCCTTGAGAGTGTGTTTTACACTGCTGTGTAAAACAACTTTTGTGTTTCACACTCCTGTGTAAAACAACTCCTGTGTTTTACTTATCAGTGTTGGGGACAATATCAGACATGTTGATGAAAGGATCTTAAAATCCTACATCCTCTTGATTTCCATTTCCAGCCATGATAGAGTAATAGAAACCAAATTTATCCTCCTACCATAACTTTAAAACTAGAGACAAATACATGAAACAGCAGTTTTCATTAGGCAGTGAGGGACAGTAAACCCTGAGAGAGGGAAAACAAACAACGATTGCCCCAGCTTGCTGCCTAGGGAGTTTCCTAGCCACATCTCAGGGAGGAGGAACCCAAGCAAGACCCTCTGTCTAAGTTAAGGTGATGGAATTAGGAGTCCAAGGAAGCCAAGGTGGCTTAGAGTTTGCAGGGCAGAATACTGAAGAGAAGAGGGTTACAAAGAGGTTGCTCTGG